ACTGTTCTAAGGTTTTTACTACTTTTACAAACTCAATGCCTCACAGCTGCACTGGAGCATAGATGTATAATCTCCACTTTATAGATGAGAAAATTGAGACTCAGAGAAGTTTAAATAACCTCTCTCTCATATGGCAGGAGGAAGGACAAAGATCCCAGAGCCAGTATGTAGCTGAGCTGGGATTCAAACCTAGAGTCTGCCACTAGTTCATGGTACAGGATTCCCTTTTCTGTTTGTTCTTAAAGCCACAGACAACTGCTCTGTTTGTAAGATCTTACCTTTCCATTTCTTACATAACCACACTAAACTGGATCTTTCTGCTCATGTCCTCCAAGCACTAGATCTTTCCAAATTCTGCTTCATTTCCACATTCTGTTCAACCCCACACCTCCTGGACCCTGCTTGACTTGCTGATCTTGATTAACTCCTACCCACCCCACCCCACCTCATTTGTTTTTACCTTCTTGAATTTCATGCCACTCAGCAAGGCTGGGGACATTACCAACTGACCCCACTATCTTTGGCCATGGCCCTCAGAGTCACGGTCACAAGTTACCACTAACTAAAAAAGAAGCTAACCACTTTCTCCACTGTGGGACAGCTCCATGCCCTTTCAGAATATCCTGCTGGCCTCTGCAGGGCACTTCCCCACAGGATACATCAAGACCCAAGCTTAGAGTAACCTCTAAGCTGTGGCCCCTTAGAACCTCACCCAGTGAATCCCAGACTCTCCTCAAGACTTTCTTACTAAGAACACTGAGTTCACCTTGAGCCATGCTTCAAACCTTGGCTTTATCTTTGAGTTCTCCCTTTCCACTGACCTTATGATGGAAAAGTTATGCTTGATGGTGGTTAAGTACACATGAACTTTTTTCTTTGTATTCACGGCAGTGCCTTCCTTGCCCATAGTATATACGCAACATAAATTCACTCAGTTTAATTCAGTTATCCATGTTCACTGAGTTAGTTAGCCATAAAATCCCACTGAAGACCCAGTCTCCAGGTTAACTCTTAATTTCAATTCTAAGTGTAGACTATGCTCTTTCCCTTAAAGCTCACCAACACATCTGTACCCCTGACATCCCACAAGCTCTGTGAAACACTATCATCCCTTTACCTTGTGGACAATCCTCATGTTCTTTTCCCATTGTGCCTGTGCTCTATGCATTTTCTATTCTTGCACGCTTTACTTTAGTACTATTAAGCACACCAATATATACATCATCTTAAATTCTCCTGTTTCTTGGGCTCCATGTGCTTGATTAATATCTCCAGATGAATGTCTTGCAGGTGTCATAAAGCTCCATGGCACAAACCTAACCCAATTAGCAACTGTACTCCATCCTCTCGTCCTCAATGCCATTCATTACTTTCCTTCCTGTTGGCCATCTCAACCACGTCATCAACACAATAGAAAATCATGGCCTTGAGAATTATGCTAAAGTGGCAGGTGTGAGGTCAGCTGGTTGGTTAAGTGATGGAGCAGGGATTTGAACTCAGGCTTTTAAATTCCAAAGTCTGCATACTTAAATAATAAAACACATTTCCAGAATATTCTAGCTTCATAGTAGAATCTTCACCTAGACTTCTCAGAAGACCCTCAAATTCACTGTCAAAATCTACATTTTTTTCTCCACAAATGTATGTATCATTCACCTTCTTGTAGCTCAATGAATGGTCTTTGTTTCTAACCCTTGCTTTGTCACCCTCTGCTCTTGCACCTGGACTAGTGCAGTTGCTTCCTAACCATGTACCCTTCTCCATCTGCTTTTCATTTTGTCTGACTCATTTTTCTAAAACCCACAGATGTGTCAGCATTGCCACTTCCATGCTTTAATTGTCTTTGCAGCCAGATAACATTCAGCTTATGGAAAATTTGAATTAACATGGGAAAATACCTAAGTTTAATCCAACAAAACAGGATACAGAGTGGACATACATTATGCTATTGAATATGTTTTTAAACCATAGCTCAGAAAAATAAGCTGGAATGTTAAAATCCAAGTAGTACTCCCTGGGTAATAGAATCATGGGTGGTTTTTGTATTTAATGTGCTTTGCGCTACATTTTCTTGTTTTCTAGTGAGCACTATCAAGTCTTTAGTAAGGTTTTCAAAAAATCTTTTCAAAAAAAGTTTGTTTTCAAGTGGGGGCGAGGGGGAGCCCTACTTATCAAGCATACTAAGCCTACTGAAATTTGTCCTTTTCTTAAGCCTGGCTCTGTTCAGACATGGGTGCTTGCTTGTAGTCCCAGCTACTTGGGAGGCTGAGGCAGAAGCATTACTTGAGCTCAGGGTTTTGAGACTACCTTGGGCAAAACAGCGAGGCCCCAACTCAAAACAAAGGAAAATAAATAAGCCTAGCTCTCTACTCCACTTTTTCTCTAACCCTTGTGTGGCCTCACTGTGAGGCCAGACATATTTCCTGAAGCATGGCCTCTTGCTCCTGCTCACTGCTCCTACTTCCACTCACCCCAACCCACTTTGTACATGACCACACAGCAATCTCCCACTCCCAACTAGCATTCTTTGAACATAACTGTCTCACTTGTTTCCAAATCAGCAAGTAATTTTAAGAGTTACAATTAAACCTAGTAGAAATGGAAGGAAAAAGAGGAAAAGTAAATTAACTTGGATTATAGCACTGCTTTTTGTTTTATTTTGATACAGGTATCACTAAGTTCTCAGGGCGTTGCTAAGTTGCTGAGCTGGTTTTGAACTTGTTATCCTCCTGCCTCACCCTCTTGACTACCTGGGATTAGAGGCATGCGGCCTGGCTAATTGCTTTTCATTTATTCAAAACTTACTATGGAATGTGATCTTGCCATTCCTTTCTCTATTAAATGACTATTTTCTTAATTCTTATTTTAGTATGTTTAATAGGTATAACCTCTCCAGTCATATATAAAAATGTAAAATTGTAAAAGTAAGTAAAATTGTAATTTAAAAATCAGAAATAACAAGAAAGGGAGGCTGGGGTTGTGGCTCAGGGGTAGAGCGCTCGCCTGGCGCATGTGAGGCCCTGGGTTCGATCCTCAGCACCACATAAAAATAAATAAATAAAATAAAGTTACTGTGTCCAACTACCACTTAAAAAAAAAAAAAAGAACCAGGAAGTACATTTAAATTTGTTTCCTAAAATAACATTTCAATTAATCTCTACACTATGGATTCTTCCTTTTTCATCTATCAGCCACTTTATTAAACAATTTGTCATTTTGGCCAAATAACCATTTTTTAATCTGCCTGTTATATTCTTGATAAAACTATTGGTTTTTATAATTTATTAATTTGAGCTTATGTTGTCAATAACAGAGATGTATTAAACTTTCATCTTAAAAAGTATAATTCTACACATTTATATCTGTTTTTCATATAAAGCTAAGTATGTATCTAGCATATAAAATATTTATATCTATAAATATATATTAAATTCATTTAAAAATGTATTGGAAAATTAACCTGAGTCTTATAATAGTTTACTTAATATAGTTTGAGATATTTATGATAACCCAAATTCATCACGCCAGGCAGGAATTTTCGTATTCCTGTCTCTTGGTGTCCTTGAGGGCACATGCCTGCCTGAGTGGGCACACAGGTGCATGTTCACAGTACAAGATTCCTTTCTCTTCTCATTTCCTGTAACTAATGGGTTTTAATATGTCCTTTTGTAGATTTCAATCTTTCAATCTTTGTAATACATAAACTTAAAGATCCAAGACCTGGTGACTGACAGCTGAAGTTATCACATAGTGCTCACTTTTTTCTTTTAGCTTTAAAAATATACATGCACGCTTGCTTTAAGGTGTCTGGTTATATTCTAGATCACTAGTGCTACAAAAAGTTTAATCATTGGAAAAGTGTAGGTTTGCTAGAGTATGGAAGACTCCACAGATTCAATGACTTAGCTGTTCTACATGGTAAAAAAAATAAAGGTATTCCATACTCATCCATGAAAGTGATTCTTCATCAAAATAATTCAGATAAATCAATGAAACTGTTTACAAACTGAGACTGTTTTCAAATCAGTTCAATTATTGTTTGTTCTTGATATAATTTAATGTGTATCTATCTTCCTGAAGTTCCTTTGCAATTCTACCTTCTATTCTTTATCCCCTCATTTTTCCACCCCTGGTGGGCATCTACAAAATGTCTAGTAGCTTAATATCGGTTAAGATGAAATTTATTTGACTATCCTCATGTAGACCTCTATATCCAGTTATTTAAAGACAGAGTAATTTTTCAGTTGTCTGAATCATGATACAATATCTCACTAAGTCTTCAAAGTTCAACTGTTAGACAAAAAGCAGCTGATATTCTGGAGGATTACACTAATAAGGGAATAGATCTACATGTAACAGCATAAAATTATTACAGTATCACTGAAAAGGGCCTTAAAATCATACAATTTACACCCTTTAACTACAAATGAAGAATTTTATTTACTTGTTCAAGGTCATACTGCTTGTTAGGACACAAGCCAGAGGAGCATCCCGATTTCCTGGTCTTAATTGTTTGGTCCATGATATACTACTAAACTCTATTTTTTAAGATTTTCTTTTGTAACTATAGTAAATACACCTAACACAATGTTCCATCTTAACACTATTAACATTTAAGCTTGCCTTTTGGAAGGAGCAAAAGCATCCTAGCAAACTGCAGAACAACAAAGAATGCAGGGTCCTCACATAGAGATTAAATCCTGTTTATAGATGGGAGAGATGTGGTGTTTGGATCAACAGCTCTGAAGAGAAAATTTCCTTTTTCTTCCCACACACAGCATGTGCCATCTACTGCTTAAAAGCCCAATTAGGAGAAAGGCCAGCTGGACCCTAATCCACTCATTTAATAAGAAAATCCTGTTAAATCTCCCTCAAACCAAGTAAGACTCACCGACGAACATGCAAACACAGCAATATACAACATGATATATAAAAAGTACCACCCCACCAGTGCCAGCATCCCCAATGAAAGTATTTCCCTTAATAAGAACAGCTCTTACTGTTTTATAAATACTTGCTGGGGGCATCATCCCAACTGCAAAAGGTGTTCTTGGTTCTACTCGGCTTCTCCTTTCACCATGGTTCAAGTGCAGAGACACTAAAATCTACCGCGATGCGAGATGTAAAGGATTCACTTCGCAATCAATGTCCTGTTTTCTTTACTGTTTCAGATAATGTTACCAAGCATGAGTCACTTTCTCCCACTCACTTCCTGATTTAAACTTTCACTGCTTGAGAGTCAGTATTTAAAATTAATTCACTAACTGGAAGAAATAAGCCATTTGCTCTTTGTGTATTGGGTCCCCCCTACCCCCAACCCAGGGGCAGTGAAGAGTTTTCATTTGGGTTAAAGTTCTCAATACAACCAACAATCATTTTTAACTCTTATATTTTAGAATGAGTCCTTTTTGAATTTCTGCCTGTGTTCATGTCAGAACACCATAAAAAAGAGAAAAAAAAAAAAAAAAAAACTCCTAAGCCTTGTATTTGCTGTTTATAAATTTTCTGATAACTGCAACTTTTCAATTTTCAACCTCCCTAAATAGTTATTTAGCATAATCAGTGAGAGACTGAGCAATACAAAATTTTTCTTCTCTTCAGAGATGTAAATAGCCTTTAAAAAAAAAAAACAAAACAGTTTTTTAATCTAGGGAAATTTTGGATGATACTTATATTGTACCTGTGATCTAAGAAGTCCTAAATACTGTATAAAACCCATATTTATTAATATTCCCAAAGAACTAAACTGACATGAATAAAGAATACAATTCAAATGACCTTCTTACTGGAATTATATAACAATCTCTGCAAGTTAGTGGACATGCCAGAAGCAGCAGCAAGATTTCCTGGTTCTAATTGTTTGGTCCATGATATATTAGTAAACTTTGTCCTTTTTAAAGATTTTCCTTTTACTTGTGGCAAAAGAAACTTAACATCATCTATTATGTTAACATTAAGAAAATTCAACATTTTAATTTACCTGAATGCAGGTAAATTATGCGTGTATTTCACCAGCAAATCAGGTGTTAGATGAGATTTGTACAGGAGCAGAAACACCATCCTGGTAGTTCATCAAACTACTTCCCTTTTCAGGAAGGACATGAACTTTCAGTTCACCACTCCAGTAAACTATCTGTGGCTGTGGCAGTCACTGTCATTTTCTGCATTTTGCTATTTGGATTTGTAATTTGTTGTACCTGGGACACAGCACTGCTCTGAGTGTCACAGCACAAAAGGTCTGGGCCATTTATTAATTACATAAAGCAGTAGAACTTGGAAAATCACTTAACCCTTCTAGACTGTTTCTTCTATTAATGAACTGCTTGACTAAAATGATCTCTAAATGGCCTCCTAATTCCAAAACCAAGCCACTTAGTATTATATTGGGTATTGATAAGAAAACTTTAAAAATGAGAAGTCTGAAAAGAGTTATAATCTGTTGAATAATTTAATACTTCCATATTAATGTCCTTCAAAGCATCATCTGCTAGTGGCAAGTTCATCTTCCATGTCTAATATTTTCTTTTACCAGATTAGAGAAGTTGAAAGAAGAAGAGTATAAAATTTCTTCTTGCTTAGCCTGTAACCATTAGGGAGGCAGTACCAACATCTAGAGCAACAAAGAACATTTCCTTCCTACATGAAGACCACATGACTGTGAACTTCCTATATCAAAATTGGCACCAGGTTCTGACCCTTGCAATTGCAATAGAGAGATCAACAGAAACTACACAGAAAGGTGAACTATTCCCTCAGAGATGGCATTAGTGCCCACAGCTTGAAACTGCCTTAACTACTGGATGGGGTGATCTGACTCACTCATTTCATGGGTGCAATGAAATAGTTTTAAACTGCTGTTCGCTGGGCAGCACTTGCCCTGCTGTGAGCTAGCCTTGTGCTCTACCTTTGTCTCCTGGTGCTGGTCCAGCTGTTCCAGTTCCACAGGGCTTTCTCCATTTTCCCTCTCTTGAACCTTGGCTTCTGCTTCCACTTCTCCTTCTTTAAGGGGGAGCACTGCGCCTATACTTGGAGTCCTGCAGCTACCGTCAGAAACATCTCCGTCATGGTCACTTGTTGTGGGTGATGCAGAACTGATGGCACTTTCATCTCTTTCTCCGTTCACCAAGTGTGTATCAAGGAAGGGTTCAGCAGTTTGAACAGGAGTAGCTGGGCGACCAGTGGCTGCTTGAGCCTCTTCACATTCCATCTGGTTTTGTGCTGCCATTATACCGTTGGCCACACAAGTCTGTTCACCCTGAGTCTGATCTGTACCATTTCCCTGCCTCTGTGGTGGGTGCTCGGAGAGGAGTTTTTGTGGAGGTGTGGGTGTTACTCCATGTCGTCCTGGGGTCCGAGGAACATTTAAGTTTACAGCAGAATCTTTCTTCAAATCACCATAATTTGCTAATGCACTAAAAATAAAATACAAAGGAAGAGTGAAAACATTGGCATGGAAGTCTGAGCACATAGACCAATTTATTGTAGTGGAAAAGGGACTTTCCCCGATATCTCACATGGCTTTGGAAACATGGTACTGGGGATGCTATTCACATTTAAACAAATAGTTAAACAAAGATGATAAGCCTGGGTTTACCTATGTGATCTGGAGCATTTCCTTAAGCAGGTTAATAATATGACTAGTTAGTAAAGATATAGGTGGAAGAATTATTTATATTTAATAAAATCATCAAGATTTTTATTTGCCTTAGAACTTTAAAAACAAGCATAGCAGAGCTAGGTGTGGTGGTACACACCTGTAATCTCAGCGGCTCAAGAGGCTGAGGCAGGAGAATTTTGAGTTCAAAGACAGCCTCAGCAACTTAGCGAGGCCCTAAGCAATTCAGCAAGACCCTGTTCTCTAAATAAAATACAAAAACGGCTGGGATGTGGTTCAGTGGTTGAGTGCCCTTGGGTTCAATCCCTGCTACCAATAAAATAAAGTAAAATAAAAAATAAAAATAAGCATAGCAGTCCCCAGTTTATGAACTTGTGATAAACCAGAAAGTTATTTTTATTTGCATGGCAGAACACATTCTTAAAAACTTAATTTTCCATGTTGCAATACCCTCTAACTGGTCTCCTCAGTGGTCTGTTTCCACTCTGAATCCCCTCCAATCTAGTTTCTACAAGTCAAATCAAACTCAGAGGGCTTTCTCACACTCTTGAGGGTAAATGATATCCTGATGTTACCTTCAAGACTGTACACCCTGCACCCCCTAGTGACCCCAACTCACACATGCTCCCCTGACCATGGTCTTGCTTTATGCCTTGCTCTTTCCTATCCCCAGTAAGCAAATGTGTATATCTTGGGTTCACTGTAACTGCTGTTCTTTGCCTAGGACACAGGTGGCTTCTTCTTCCTCCTCATTTAGGTTTCTGCTCAGATTCACCTTTCAAGCGGCTTTTCTGGTTGGATCCATCCAAAACAGCACACCCATCACTATCTCCATATTTTATTCTTCCTCATAGTCCTTATTACCACTTGAATTATATAGTCCTAATAGTTCTAACAAGACAATGGAATCTCACTGCCAGTACAAATCAATGTTCCTATGTAAATACTTGCATGGCATTTTAACCTAGGATTCCAAGATGGAAATGAGAAGAAATAAAAACAAACTAAAACTCTGTAAGGAGGCACATTATGCTATCTTGTTCTCTGCTTTATTCCTAACTCTCTGCATAGTGCTTGATTCATGTGAAGTCCTCAATGAATATTTGATGGACTATGAATAATAATGATGATGACTGTGACAATAATACAATAACACAGACCATCACAAGTTTACTAAGTCCCATAAGCTATGCAAAGCTCTTTACAGTGGTCATTGTGTTTCATCCTCATAAAAACTCTGAAAGCAGGGACCAAAGGAAATCTAGGCTTAGAAAATTGCATGCAGTTGGGCACAGTGGTGCGTGCCTGTAACCTTAGCTACTACAGAGGCTGAGGCAGGAGGATTGCAATTTGAGGCCAGTCTCAAGGCCAGAAGCCTAGTGAGATCTTGTCTAAAAATAAAAAGGACTGAGGATGAGGCTCCATGATAGAGCACCTCTAGTTCAATCCCCAGTACCACACACGCACAAAAAAAAAAAAAAAAAAGCATTTTGTGGTCAATGTCACATCTGACAAGCAGCAAAGCCAGAATTCAAACCCGGAAGTCCAACTCTAAATCTCATGATGATCTTCACCCATGTCATGGTGATGAATGAAATGAAGAGCAGGTGAATAAGCTGCAGACAAAAAGACAAGGAACACTTTTGTTGACTTGTTGCCCCTTAAAAGTAAGATGGGTCACCAACAGCTCTATGGAGACACCTGCAAAACTGTGGCCACGGTTCTCGCTCTTGTCAAGTCTGCTCAAACTGGTACAATGTGATCCAGAAAAACGGCCTCAGCATGTGCTGGCAATTGTTTCCATCAGTATGTGAAGAATACAGGTTTCATTAAGTTGGACTAAGTGATCTTCCTTGAATGGATTGCCCTAAGACAGCTACTTGATGAAAGACAACATGATAGATTAACAGATCTGCTGAACCAAACTGAGGCAAGCTCAGGACTTTTTAGAAAGACTGCTTTGGATGACAGTTGGAAATTTCCCACAAGGGACATCAAGGGTATGTCTGTGGATGTGGGGGTAGGTGGGAGGGGTTCGTAGAAACAGTAGTTGAACCAGTACTTAGAAGATTCCTGCTACTTTGTGGATTCTAAACCATGAGGTGAAACAGCTGGCCTTGCAGTACCCTTGGAAAAATCAGTGTTCACCTCAGCAGAAAACATTATTTATTTCTAAAATCCTGAAATCTTCATAAATTAAAAAGAATATTCTCTCTTACTCTGATAGAGATAGAGGAAAGGAAACCACACACAAACAAAATAAATAAAATCTACTTGTTCCAAGTCACTCTTCCAATAAAACTATGACAGGTGAGGTCTTAACAGCAGTATGATAAGGTGCTCTAGACCATCCTGACCAGACTCTACCCTAACACATACTGGTTCTTACTGTCAATCAATTTCCTACAGTAACTCAGTTGAGTGATCTTCCTTTATCCCACAAAATGCTAGTTTGGGCTGTGATAACTGGAATTAAAAGTGAAAACCACCCGGTAGGTATATGGACATCACTTAACAAAATATAAATACAAATTTCCCACTAAAGAGCTGTAGACCCAGGGCCACTGTTATGGTTTAGATATTAGGTGTCTCCCAAAAGCTCATGCATGAGACAATGCAAGAAAGTTTAAAGGTAAAATGATTGGCTTATCAGAGTTTAACCTAATCAGTACATTTATTAATCCACCGATAGGGATTAACTGTATGGTAACTGAAGGCAGGTAGGGTGTGGCTGGAGGAGGTACATCATTGGGGTATGCCTCTGGGATACATATTTGTCCTTGGTGAAAGGAGAACTCCCTCTTGCTCTCTGCTTCCTGGTGGCCACGTCCTGAGCTGCTTTCCTCTGCGACAATGGTCTGCTATGATGTTCTGCTTCATCTCAGGCCCAGAGCAACAGAATCAGCCATCTATGGAATGAGACCTCTAAAACTATGAGCCTCCAATAAACTCTTCCTCCTCTATGTTGTTCTTTTGAGGACTTTTGGTATTAGCAGAGGAAAAAAAAAAAAAAAAACTTGAGTAAAACAGCCAGTTTGTGTTGGTAATGCCTCATTGCAAACATATCATTATCTGTTTGCATTGGCAGGACTTTGCCAAATGATAGTTGCCCGTACACGTTACACCCTATTTGCACTCAGAACACACTTGCTTAAAATGTCATAAAATATAGCACCTCTTTATTGAGATCAAACCTTCAAGCTTTGCATCAAGAATGGACTCTGATTGACTTTGAATTGGTGTAGCTTGAAAGAGTAAAAGAAAACTGATATTATTAAGCAGAAAAACTCTGCACATTTCATGTGTAGAGAAGAATCCAAAAGCAATGCAAGGGGTGGGTTACCAAAATGGGAGGATGAGAGGCCTCAGTCTTTGGAATACTGACCCTCTGCCTTCAGGTCTTCTTAAAGCTATCCCTGAAAACCAGGGATGTGGGCTCTGGCATGCTATAATGACAGGATCTGGGCCCTGGCCCTCCTTCCATTAGGAAGTATCTGAGCATAGCTGCTAAAACCTGCAAACAGGAGGGATCACTTTTCTATTATTATTGAAGCAATTTACCTTGAGAAGCAGGGGGAAATTTTTTTTTAATGGAATTAAACCATTCTTGTAACGACTGCTATCATTTAAGATAGCAAAGGAATTATAAATCCTACTTTAGAGGGGGAGATAAAGTTTAAAGATTTATGACCAAAGTCCGCACAATTGATCAGGAATGAAACCAGGCTTCTAAGTTACTCTTTTCCAGAATGTGTAGCTAACATGGTCCCATTTTAAATGAGGGACATTGCAGTTTGTGCTTGGCCACAACTTTCAGGATATTCTGTAAGTATTTCCAACTCTAATTTCACTACATAAATAACAAGAAATCCCATAAATAAAATGATCACATAATGGGAAACCATTCCCAAATATTGCACAGAAATGAATGAAAACATTCAGCTTCTAGGATGAAAGCAAAGTATATATATGTGTGTATGCTCCATCACCTCCAGCCACAGCTGCTCTGGACAGGAGAATGGAAACAGAATACACAATAGACACCACAAGCACATACACATACACATATTCTCTTACCCTTCTGATAAACATTTTAAATAAAATTCTATTTAAGTCAGTGATGAGAATTCTAGCAAAAAAAATTCTTTAAAGAAAAAAAGTTGAGGGTCTTATATATAGAAAAGCAACTTACATGGGTTTGTTTTTTTCCTTTAGGTGAGAAATATACAGTATTTCACCTGCCTTCCCAACAGACATTAAAAAGAA